TGTGTCTAAAAGTACAGACGTTCAATAAAACCACATCCATAGTTCCTTTAATTAACCCCGTCGGAGTGAGCGTGTGCAGAGTCCACGCAATGTAAAAAGCCCTAACCCCGAACTCTACTGCGAGTACAGACTCTCATTAAGTGAGTGTGTGTATTTGAGAGACTCGGAGTCACCCTGAGCTTCTCTTCATTTCTCTTTGCATCAGCACACAAACAACCTCATTATCGCCCTTCACGCCTTCTAAGTTGTAAAATAAAATAAATAAAAAGGCAATAAAGGCTGATTCTCAAGGAACAGATATGATACAGGGGTGTGACACTTCACCTGAGATGAGCTACCTACTGGCCGATCGTTTCACCCTCCGTCCTTCAGCTCTTCCTTTCAGTTTGCTCCTCTCATCCTAAGCTCTTTACCCCAGTGGTTTCATAACACTTCTCCTTTTATGTGACTTTTAACGACTCTTACGACGGCTTTGTGACCTCGATAACGCTCACGTGACTGATTCTTCTCAAGTCTCAGACGCTGGAGGACATCAAAGTACCGGCAAATAAATCCATCGAGCTTGATGGACTACAGAGAATAATGCAAACCTCACACATCTAAAAGTAGATTTCCGTGGCTTAGTAAGAAGAATAACAAACAAAGGCTACATTATGATGCAGAAACCACATTAAAAACATCAAACATGATCGGGAAATCGGCAATAATTGGCCAACGAGCTCAGCAAGGAGAATTTTTCAAAGTACAAGTAAGTTAAAAAGGAAATTTCCCTTCTGCTTTGTGGTGAAATTGAATTAACTCATAATTAGATAACCTGTCTATTAAAATACTGTTGAGGGTGTATGACCTGAAACCTTCAGCACATTTTAATACATAAAGGACTAGAACTTGACAAATATGATGCTTTAAAGCCTCCAAACAGAATTTAGATCATTACACAACAGGGGCCACAAAAATTAATGAAGATATTATCAAAATAATCCTGAATAAAGTGAATAATATCTGTCAAAATGTTCCCATATTGTGCAGTCCCATACATGGTTAACATATATATATATACATATATATATACTATATATATATATATATATAATATTGAACTATATATATATATATATTATACATATATATATATATACATTATAATATATATATATATATATATACACGTGGTGCTGGAGCCGAGGGTTTGTATTTGTATTTCACAGCTGTCAACCAGCAGGTGGGAGTACGCAACTGTGTACAGGCTGACAACGTTCGCAGGCAGACTATCTGTCATCGGTGCTAAGAGACCAAAGGAAATGTATTAGGCTGAGAACAAATGAATTAAAACATTGTTTTGAGTAATGGTTTTGAACTTTTCTGGTGACTCTAAAGGAAATGTGTAAACAGCTGCTTCAAAAACAGCATTAACTCAAGTTAAAAGTCTTCCTGATTTATGATAAATCTGCACGTTTCAATGCAGATTATGAGCATAATAAAGATCATGTAACAACTTTAAAAAAAGTACAGAAAGTAAGTCTATTAGTGTGGGACAACGTGAATAAATGCAATTACATGAGAAACAACAGAGTACAGTACATGGACATTAAAGCACCGGAACACACCACAACACACACACCACACACACACACACACCACACACACACACAACACCACACACCACACACCACTGATGAACAGTGTCTCTGTGCTTTATACATGCTAATAGGAGGAAGCGGCTGGTTGACCTATTGAGAGGCCAAAAAATAAAAAAAAACAAAAAACTTCTCCTCCCTCCCTCTCCTCTCCCTTCTCTCTCTCTCTCTCCCCCTCCCTTCTCTCCCTCTCTCTCTCCTCCCTCCCTCCCCTCTCTTCTCTCTCTCCCTCCCTCCCCTCTCTCTCCCTCTCTCTCTCCCTCCCTCCCTCCCTCTCTCTCCCTCTCTCTCCCTCCCTCTCTCCTCATTCAGCCACAGGCATAGACGAAGAGGATTTAGCTCACACAAAGCAAGAATGAATATCAAACCCTATGGGAAAGCACTTGGGTGGACAGAGCTCTCACGTCAGACTCCATAAACCCCGGAGTGCAGCAGACACACCAACGTTAACCTTTAAACTCTTTTATCTATGTGGAGCAATTTGTTCTGCTGGTATCCGATGTTAGTATTCACTGATTCCTTAATCTTGTAATTAGTATTTTGTTCCTATAAGTTTTATTCTGTGAATATATTTGTGCACACGGTTTGCTTTTGCCTCATATTATCGGCGTATGTTTTTTAAACTACATGTCTTTATTGTTACTGGATGTGTTTGTGCACTTTAAACAGATTACAAATGAACCTGAAACAAGTAAATCTGAAGATCGACACTTTTTACTGCTCGAACAAACAGTGAGTCAAGTAACACTCGTCAGGATTGATCAATGAAAATGAAACGTTTGTGCAGTCCTAGTGAGGTCCTCGCCCTCTCTTCTGCAGACACTATCTATAGAGCGACAGGAATCAAGTGTTTACATCCACTGAACAACAGTACTTGCTACGTGACAGATATAAGTACGGATATATCATAATTATTGGTAGTATCAGTCTATTCAAGTGCTCTGTTCAGCATCAAAGGACATCTTGATATGATTCAAGGTAGTAATGACATGATGTTTTATCATATTTACTTTGCATTTTGTCCTGGATGAATTTATCAGCCTTTAAAAAGATAAGATAAGATAAGATTTTAAAAAATGATAAGATAGATACAGCAGCAATAGCCAAAAACAGAAAACAAATGAAATTCACAGTAAAAATTATTCTATATTATAATATTAGAATTATATAAAAAACTATAAATTAAAGTATTTACACTGTTTGTGTACTCCAAAATATGAGGCAGCATAAAACTTAAACTCTGACTAAAAACTAAAACTAAATTAAACTAAACTACTAAAGTGGAATTAAATAAAACAGTGGCAAAAGGTTTGTGTTGTAAACCATTCTTTATCTGCTGGGTTTTTGAGGAACAAGTGGTACTAAGAAAGAGAGAACGGGGTAAAAGAAAACGGAGGAGAAAAACGCCCAACAGCCAAAAGTCATCCACATCTCTATTTGTGAGTGTGTGTGTGTGTGTGTGTGTGTGAGTGTGTGTGTGTGTGTGTGTGTGTGTGTGGTGTGAGCTGATGGACAGTGTTCTGGCCCATCAGGGAATGCCGGCCCATGATTCAGCACATTGTCTGCATGTTTTAGGGGTAGACAGCGGCCACTGAAGCTTAAAAATAAAAAAATAAAAATGTGGCTGAACATGAAACCTCATAACACTAGAGCTATTGTAATGGGCATCTTTTATTTGTATTCTGATTATGTTTTTAACTCAGGATTTTGTTCACTAGAATATTGGAAAAAGGTTAAATATCATTCATAGCGTAAATCATGAGTTCATGTTTTATCTCGTCACTATCAGCATTAGGTTGGGAATATATCGGCTGTCTGCTGGGTCAAGGTGAGAGGAGAAAAACCAGCCGATCAGAATATTAACCTCAACCTGCGGTTGAATTAAGAGTTCTAACTTCAGATAGTTTGACGACCGAAACAAGGTGATTCAAAGGGGCTCAGACCAGGACCTGGGACTCCGGGGGAAGATGAGGACACGGTGGGGACGGGGGGGCTCGATTTAATCGCCCGCGACAGCTGAAGGTGGGATGGGAGTTGAATATATGTGCAATATATTGGGAAACTGGTTGTTGCTCGGTTGAAAAATTCTTTAAAAAATCAGAAAAAACCCTTTATCTCGGACGCATGGGGGCAAAACCTACAGGGAACATCAGAGATCTCAACATCATCCAAGGGAGCGAACAACACGACAATCTATAAACGAGAGGAAGGCAAACACATGAACCACACACAGAACATAACCAGACATGTAAAGTAATTATACTGCATTATTTTGATGGCATACACCACAATAAACTTAATTTAATACGAGTTGAGACGGCAATCTAACCTCTTCGGCCTGGTATTGTAAAGGTAGAAAAAGAGCCAAAGTTGAAAAGCAAGGTTAGACTATCTTGGCAGTGTGTGTGTGTGTGTGTGATGTGTGTGTGTGTGTGTTGTGTGTGTGGTGGTTGTGTGTGTGTGTGGAGGCAGGTTTCTCATAGATGAAAGGTAAGCTAAAAAACACATCCATTATCATTCCATTCAAGCATTGCTTCCCCCACCGCACTCTTAAGTGAAAACGAATCCTGTTTATTGACGAAAAATAACCATCAGGAAAAAAGGGGGGAGGAGGAGGAGG